TATGCGTAATAAAACGGTAAATATTGGATTAGGGAAAAAGTCTTTTTACAAATTGCTGATAGATGGAGATCTGATCGATTTTTGACATAGCGCTATTTTGTGACATTAGATTATACCGGTGCTACATTGTAACTCAATTCGGCATTTATGTATAAGTCTTCTATAAGTCTCGTGAAGATTCTTAAATTTACTTTTGCATTCAGTTGCGCTTAATTTGCCTAAAAAAAATTCTGTTTTAACATCTTTTTTGTTAATAGTAGTTTTTGTAAATAGTAGACATTTATATACATTACCATTCAAAGCTTTAGAAACTTCTTCCCATAAAGCTTTTGTAACTTTGCTGTTTCTTTGAACAAGAGGTAATTTAAGATTCCATAATGGTTCTCTATATTATACTTCTAATATTAATCTGCTTCCAAAAAAGCAACATATAATCCAAAAGCAACATAAAATTAATATTTTATATTAATATTTTATATTAATATTAATATTTTATGTTGCTTTTTAGCTTTTTAGGTGGCAAGAAGTCATTGATAAAAGAGGCGAATACATAATTGACTAATTTACTCTATGTATAAAAATAAATGTGTTATATTCTGTTATAAAAAACCGAACGAACTTATTTGCCAACCCAATACATAATAATTCTTCAAGTTGAATTGCATTCACACGGAAGTAATTTCGAAATTTGTTATTTGTTGTAAAATTGAAAGTAAAATTGTATTATGGAATCCATATTTATCTCTTATTTGAAATAATGGATTTACTCAAAAACATTTCCTTTTGTAATGTTTTTTCTGTTTTTCTTGCAAATAAAGAACTGCCGCCAATACTAATAATCTTCTTTTCTTTTCCTTCATATTAATTTCATTATTAATTTTTGTACACTCCATCATCCAATTATACTTTTTTCTTTGTAACATTTTATTTTATATAAACTGTATATACTGTTGTATATGTAATGGAATTTGTCGTCCTACTAAATCGCGTCCTACTAAATCGCTGAAAGTTATTTTCATATTCAATAGCTAGCGAGTGTCACGCAATCACGTGACTTTTTTATCGCTGAAAACGAGCGATGAGCGATGCATGAAAAGGTACCTTAACAGTAATATTTTGGCGGCAAGTTCTTTGCTGCTCATTTTACGCCGCTGTTCCGCAGAATTTTCGATGCAAAAATGTGTGCGTATAAATGCAATGTATCCGCCAACTCTCCACTTTGCGCGCTACAGCAACTTGGCGCGATCAGCACCTCGTTATTATACTTTCACTCGAGTAAGTCGTTCAATGACATAACGGTCTGCGCGTACCAAATGTAATTAGCACACAATAACAGGTACGCGTACGCGTTTGCTGATTTTTTAACATTAATAGCCGCTCTTACGATTACTATTTTCGCGATAAATTATAGCGGCATTTCGGAGAACTACATTTCCGAATCGAATCATTCATGTAGCAAAAAGATCCGTACGAAGCTTTCGTACTGGCATAACGGTAGCTACATGATGACACGAGAGCAAATTGCCACTTTAACAGGAAGGATTGTGCTCACTGAATGATGGATGACATTAACGATGCCATGAATTTACAAAGCAGTAACACTGATTCAACTTCAAATGGGTCGATTAATGCTTTGGAAAGAAGTAAACTAAATTATGAATAATTAAAATATTTAGATGTAATAAATATTACTAAAATATTTTTTTAAATATTTTATATAGAATATAAAATTGTAGTTTTGTTCTTTATATTCGTAGAAATTTAATCCTTCACAATATTAAATAAAACATAATTAAAATTTTTTTGAGAACATTAAATATGTATTCTTTTTCTTAACAAATTTCTAATCGCATGCAATGAGACATCCCTTTTAATCGTATTATCAAGAAGAGAAAGGAAACTTATAAAAATAATTACGAAAAATTAAAATTACATTAAAAATAAAAAATTTTAAACATAGTACGAGTATAATTATTCACCAATCTCTGATTGTGATGTAATAAATTCTCTCTAATGACACTCATAAAGTGTCAACAATTATAAGAACATTATATATCAAGAATGGTAATTTAAAACAGACGCCAACACAATTCTGTTCCTTCCTTCTTGATAAACGCCTGTTATATGAAAGACCTCGATAATATATGTAATAGTTAATCCGATAGATAACGAATCTCTGCTCGCTTGGTTGCATACGCATTTATGAAAGAAGGCGTAATATCTCGTGAACGCGACTCTCGGCAGGTAAACGCATAATACCGACGATGACGACGACGGTGATAATTGAAGGTTGCGCAACGTGTCGTCGTAATATTTAGCAACGCGTCGCGGGTATATACCCAACTTTTCCGCGACTCTCTCGACGAGAAACGCCGTGGAAGGCAAAGAAGGAATCCTGAAAGGCGGCTTCTTCCCTCCTGTTGCCATTGTAACGCGACATTCCTATTTGTCGATTACGCAACGCGTTTTGCATTCGACCGGCCGGTTTATCGAACGCGCGCAACGAACACAAGTTATAAATTTCAGCCGCGAGTACCTGTTGTTTGTCGAGCCTCCGTTATCGTCGCTCTCCGATAATATTCACTTGTACGCCTGGAGAAACCGCTGCGCTTAATTAATTTTATTCCGCTTAAAATAAACACCTCGTGAATAATAGTCAAGATTCCTTCTTCTATTTGTAAATGTGTTTCTGTTATCAATGGACGGTGTATTTTGAATATTTATGTAGTGTTATAGAAATAGGCGTCCGTGACAAACAAAATTTTTGCGGACGTCTTGCGTGATCCTAAAGTAAATTGAGCTATCTTGCTATTTAACCGCATCACGTTTTCCATTTTCTTGATATTGTTCGTGATTAATTTTTTCAATTTTTGGTGCGTCTATTACAATTTTCCTTATAACACACTACGTGTCCGTGCATAAAAAATGCGTTTAATGATGCAAAAGTTATTCGAAGAATGTCAGCATGCGTTCTCCCACGGGACACGCGGTAATCAACGACCGTGGCGGTCGTTAACCAGAAGCCATAATAAAAAAATGTAGAGACAAGGAATAATGTACAAAGAAAAAAGAGAACTGCTTAACTACGGATTAAGTGCACAATTTTTTTCGAAAACTTATCTCTTCTTTATATATTGCATTAATATCTCATTAATGAATTTTTTTCTCACAAATAAATTTTGATATATTTTTTCAGAAAGATTTTTGAAATGTGTAATGTAAAATTATCAATAATTTAGAAGAAAATTGTTTTTTTTTCACAGCTATAAAGCGTAAAGCATTAAAAAATATTGCGCTTATCAGAATGGTCTTTTAGTATTCACGTTCTATCATTTAAAATAATTGAATCATTAAGTTAATAATTGAACCATAACTACAAGGAGAAGTTTAACCGGATTGATTAGCCACTCACTAATATTACATAAATGCGATTGATTATCGATTTGTGCAAATTACGAAAACAATATTTGCTCAAGCTCGTTTCGATACTTGAGTTAAGCAGTTAATTGAAGCGCTGGGATTTCTGCAGATTTTACATTCTCAACAACAATTATTCGAAAATTAATAATTAAATTTGTAATTATAATAAATTGCAATAGTTAATATTTGATATAAGAGTCATTGTTTAAATTACCGTAATAATAATATTGCGATAATTTAATCCGTGAGATCGAGCAAGTATGTACAAATTATTTGTACAGTTTTCTCAACTTTTTTTACTTTTTAAAACATATTTGCCAAATTTAGCTTATAGTGTTTCAAATATTTAACATCGAACACTTCCATTCGAGACGTGATTTTGTTTTCTCAGCTAGATAATAAAAGATAATAGTTTGATTTCGAATCACAGGTATTTATCGATACTACTTATCGATTAAATTATCGCAATATTATTATTACGGTAATTTAAACAATGACTCTTATATCAAATATTAACTATTGCAATTTATTATAATTACAAATTTAATTATTAATTTTCGAATAATTGTTGTTGAGAATGTAAAATCTGCAGAAATCCCAGCGCTTCAATTAACTGCTTAACTCAAGTATCGAAACGAGCTTGAGCAAGCATTGTTTTCGTAATTTGCACAAATTCGCGGATGTTCAGTTTCTGCGTCAATCCGCCCGATGTTGCAAGGCGCAACGTAAAAACCACTTCGCGTCCTGAATTCGATAACGGAGATTAACCGAGAGACTCGTCCCCGACGGCTGACTGTAACTTTCTCCCACATCGTAGCGCGCCCGTCCTTGGACCACACACAACAGGCGACTGACTGACTTCATAGGCCCGTTGCATCGCGCGCACGCGAGAAACGTCCGTCCTTGCAAGTCCTTAAGCCTTGCACGACCGCGTGCACAAGAATCTACGGATTCCGAATGCAATCGAAATTGACGTTGCGCATTTTGCAACGGTCGGGCGACCAAGTCGCCGACTCACGCGACATTTTCCACACTTCACGCAAGATTATCGAGAGATTTCACATCAAATTCTCCGCGTGTCGACATTATAACGTTTTGGCGACTGTGTTAATCTCCGTTAGCTTTAAAAAATCGCGAGAAGACAAACGAATTTATCATTCACGAATTAAAAGCCATAAATTTTCTAAATAATTTAAAGTCTTCTTTTTATTAATACACCGAGAAAAGTTTATATCAGAAATTACTATGTACGGTAGTAGCCGCGGACTATGAAAAAATTATAAAAATTTTACTATATTTTTACTATATTTTTCATATGTAAAACAGTAAAAATTTTCGGTCCGCGGCTCATGGTCCGCGGTTAATGTCGTACATAGTAATTTTTGATATAAAATTTTCTCCGTGTACTTACATTATTACTTATTGCGCTTGGTACGTCGACCACTTTTACTTTCTTATTTTGATTTACTTAATCGATCAAACTTATTTTCGTTTTTATTTTTTAAAAATTCTCAAATACTCGAATATTTATTTAATTCGATATAAAGATAACACGCCTTTAAATTTATAAACACTGACTACATTGACTCACTACATTTTTTTAAACATACTTTTAGCTAGAGCAATAAAATTTAGATGTCAATAAATTTCCAATTTGTCAAAATGCTTGACGGATATGTGTATTATAAGTTGTTTTTATATTCTTGATTTGAGGATTTGTAATTATCTTCCGCCGACGAAGAATTCATATGATCGCAACGTTCGAGAGAAGTATTACATCAGTCGACGGCGATAAATTCTTGCCGGAGAAAGTCATGGGAAGAAGCGGCAAACGGATCTCCCGAATTTAACGGATGGTGCTTAGAAGTGAATATGACGACATTCGTGAGTAATCAAGTGGAAAGAAATAAGATTTACATTACTAATTACACATCGGAAAGTGTTGCAATTATTTACAACAGGAACATCTTTAAAAAACTAAATTATTGTTTCAAAAACAAAAAAAAATAAACATAATAGATATTCAAGTATGTATAACTATAATAACTATAAAAAAATAATAATTTTGAATAACTTTCGCGCAACTTTCGTCAAGAAACAATCGTCTTCGTTATAGCTCTACGTTAAACATTGATAAACCGGTGACTCGCAATCTGCCGTAAGTTCTGGCGCGAACACGACAAAGATTGCACATGTAAGTTTGCTTTCGTGTAAACCGAAAATCAACAATGTACTTGCGCAAACAATATTATCTCCTTATCCTATCCTAATACTCGTCGCAGCATTCCTCATCGCTGCGAATGAGCGTATTAAATGTTATAATATCGACATCGACACTCGGCGTCTGCGATAGTCTAAATAACGGCGCATCGGTGTATTTATTACAACAACAATAATTTGATCGGTTGCAACGATGTGTGTTCTATCGCAGGAAGGGACGCGTCGTCGTCGTTGTATCGAAAAAAACGACGATAACGCGAGAAAAGGAAGGAATAATAAAGGAATAAGGATACTAACTTGAGGAAAGATGTGGGGATGCGTCTACAGTTTCTGCACGATGTCGAATTTGTCCTTGAAGCCGATCGACTCCTTCTTCGGGTCGTATTTTTTGCGCGCCGCCAGCTGGGCCCTCAGCTCCTTCGCGCTCATCTTCAGATTCAGACCCTGGGATTGCGACTCGCTGTTTGCGCTACCGCCGCTCGCCACGCTACCATTACCTGTGCCGTGCACGTGGTTCACGCCACCGTTGCCGTTTTCCCGCATATTGGATTCGTTGCTGTTGTTGGTCGTCGTTTGTGCTACGATAGTGCTGTCGCTATTCGCCGTATTGTTGGAGCTTATAGATTTTTGTGTGCTCTAAAATAGAAGAAACGTGTATATTATTTTATAAAATTCTCAAATTATATAAAAAATAAATCTCTTATATGGATCAAAAATAAAATTATAAAATATTATTTAGATGTTAGTGCCAGTGAAATTAAATACAAGTATCCAGTGAGCAAAATTTGATCAAATTTCCTGTCAATCTGCCAATATTTGCTAACATTTGACTATCTGATAAACACAGAAGTATTTTTATAATTGTATTGCTATCATAACTCTCTTTCAACACAATCATTTTTTCACATCACGATTATAACTTTTAACTATAATTCGCTAAAATAATATCCAATAAAGATCACTTTGATTTAGTGTCCAAGTCCACGAAAGCAGAAACGGAACGAAACGAGATATTTCTTCAGAGTCGAATGACAATGCGGTTTTTTGACATCTCCTCGTGTTGGCGCGCAACCTTGTATGACGCATAGATCGCAAAAAATGTACATCGTATAATATGGTTGGCTTCACAAGCGCCTACTAACAAAATGCCGAGTTTCCGCATGAGTGTTTTGCGCGATGGTATCGCGCTTTTTGGCCGATATCGCACAATATCATGTCGTTATTTCTCGCACCTAGCGCGTACGCGAATTCGCGAGGATAAAAATCGCTGCCCGCGAAGAGATATTTATAATGACCTTGGATCCTGATGCAATTCTGAACGGTACTTAAAGGAATTCCATTACTCGTCATGCACGACGGTGAAGAGAACCGGTTCCTGTGCCGCGCGAACCGTTTAAATCCCTTCGAAATAATGTTAGTCGGCTATCTCTACAGTCCTACATATTGAATTTCACGAACGACTGGCTTTCTGTAGTCCGAATTATCGTGGCCATGTTGTTATTTATCTCGTTTGGAAAACTACGCGGTAGACATGGAACATTTTGCTTTCTCTCTCTCTCCGCGGTGGCTGTCTCAATTCACTATGATATAATTAAAGTAATCGGAGTAAAAATTAGACATGAAAGAAAATATATATAATATGAATCGCAAAATTTCGATATAAAAATTATTAAAATAAAATTGTTGCTGCACAACAAGTATTTCTATTAAACTATATTCGTACATTATCATAAATAAAAAAACTCGATAGAAAAATATTTATAATGCACTAAATTTAACTTTATAGCAACACTAAAATTAAAAACTTCTAAGTTTTAAAATATAATTTTAATTATAAAGTAAATGTTTATCTTACAAAATTTAGATCGCAAATAAATTTCCAACCTTTTCATCCGATATAAAAGTCATGGTATCATTGAAGCTTAACGCGTTGTTCCAAAAAAAAAGTATTAAAGTTAACAAGAACAAGGCCGAGTTGCAATGGTTCTTTTCTCCTTATTTTAGTCTTTATAATGATATAATGATATTTTTTGTATCTAAGCTTTGTGTTACTAATATCTTTGTAGTTTCATGTGAGACTTTCGCGCGCATTGCATGTTTTTATTCCACTGTTACTGATGCAACAGCCCTATAAAACTGTAGGAATCTGTGCCATGAGACGATGACGACCATGAACGCTTTTCACGACCGAGATCTTTTTGCAAATGCGATCGAGCGAAAACGTATCAGTAATTTTACCGGAATTGGAATTTTGACCGCATTTAGAACGCAATACTTTCCGATAGTAATAATATTTCTTTATATTAAATTTATCGTAAGTTTTCCAAAAATATCATAAATCTGAATCTAATAAAAATTTATAAAAGGCAGCCTACCTCTTGTCAAAATACTCGATTTTTATTTGCTCCAAGTTTACAACCACACAATCAAATTTAATAGCTTTGTTGAAGAAACTACGTAAGATTCGATGCAATATAGCTGTGTTTCGACACATTAGATATAATTTTACAAATAAAAAAAATCTTTCTTTTATAGATACGAGAAATTTTCTATAGATAGTTTGCGTACACCTGCCTACGCTAATGTGCTGCGTAAATTCACTCATGCTCTTTAGAGAATCGACATGTAATATGTTGATGCAAGAATGAAATCGTCGATGAAGAAGAGAACATTCTAGCAACGCATACGTATCGAGCTTTGAAATAAACACACGCTTATCGGCAGGTCACGCAGGCAGGTATTTAATTATACCTATGCGAGAGAACATGGTGCAATGTTCGTCAACTCGGTTTTTTCTTGGAGGGGAATCCCCGTTATCTGTATACGTATTCAGGTGAGACGTATGCAAGTTTTTGGCACGCTTTCCTCTAAAATCGTTCTAGAACGAGACACGGAAATCGAATAAGATCGAGTAACGGAATTCAAGATATCTTTCTCGTTGCTTTATGACGTTGCATAAAACTTTCTTAATCTAGTATATATGATAAGTTAGTTACAAAATTGAACAAATTTATTTCGATCAAAAAAGAGTTATTAAGAAGAAGTAAACGTTGCATACATTTAAAGTATTTGTCAAATATTAATTAAATGAGTAAATAAAAAAATGTTATATAAGTCACATTAAGAAATTAGATGTATTTATATTGGTATATTCATTTGCAAATGTGTTAGTCACGTTATGCAAAGGAGACAGGAAACGTCCTATTTTGTACGGGATGGGAAACGTAAGAGGATGAGTACCTATTAATTGTATCGGGAGTACAATATTGTAATCCGCGATTGAGGATTTCCTCGAATCTTCTATTACACAATCGATCTGCGCGTTATTTGCAGAAACTTCCTAATAAAATTGCATTTAAGAAGTCATAAATAATATTTTAAAAGAAGTATTTAATACAAATTCTTTTACAAACTAAATAAAAATATTATTTTATTAAAATTTTTATAGAAAATTAATCGTTTTTTATTAATCGTCGTTATAATAAAATTATAAGTTTAGAATAGTTAATAAAATAAATGATTAAAAAATCACAATTATTACTGAATTGATTTTCACCAATTTAATTTACTTAAAAAAAATACATAAATCTTTTATTAAATAATTTATTAATTTTACCTAAATCGGTCATCTATGGAAGTATTTCAATTCGTACAACTATGAAATGTATTTTAAAAGAATTTCGGTCACACACATAAATTATTATCATATCGCCCACAATAAAGAGAGAATCTCTCGATCGTCTACCTCCCACACACTACATTATCATAACTGACATGTTAATTTTATAAAAGAATGAAGCACTCATTGCGTTCTCTACATATTCATAACTTTATTTGAATAGAGAATAATTACCTCGCAATCATGTCTTTACTAGGAGAAATTATTTCAAAATCTGCTATTACTTTCTTGTTCAAGCGTATAAATTCAACCTCCAGAAGATTACGATATTTTCATAAGATAAAAATTTTTTGAAATGGCCGCAGATTATTGTGTTAACTTGTATATAAAATATTAAAATCCGCGATTATATTTATTATTTTAAAAGTAATATTCTCCATTATTAAAAAAAAAACATTCTTTTAAGTAAATCAAATCTACGTAATGGGATCGTGATGCATGCAATCACGACACGGATCGACATAAACGCGGAGTTTACGTAATCTCGTGAAAATCACCGGAAGTGGAAATTCGTCGGAGGGAATCAACGGTTTTTCTGGTCACAAGAAAGAGCAAGAGCAGAGAGAGACTCGATATATGTATATCACAGAAAACTCTCAGATTACGAATCTCGCGAAAATTAATTAACGCCATAAAACGCATTGGTGTCCTCCAAAAAGGAGACTTCCTGCGATTAACGGTATAATAGCTCGCATCCGAGAGCGCGAGAGCCACGTTATTGTTGCATACGGTAACGCAGGTGCACTCATACCGATAACTGCCTAAGTAAACAACAGACATATGTTTCTAAATGCGTGTAATTCCTAGAACGCTAATACGAGATAGTACTAAGAGTTTTCGAGTTTACTAAAAATTCTGCACATACATCAAAAAGAAAGAAATGAACAGAAATCGAGAGTATAAAAAAAGAAAGAAAATGTATCATAAAATTTTCTCTAATTTCACGAATTTATCACAATGACATTATTTCATAGATATATATTTCTCTTTCTCTTATAACAACAATTATTGAATATTACATTTTTGTCATATGCAAACATAAAAATAATATTGATTATTTGTGTTGCAGGATGTTAATTTATCTTTATTCCACGAAAAACCGCGAAAACGACCGTGCAACATAACTTTTCATACATGATCTTTCCGGGAGCTAGAATGAGTCATTCCTCACCACGTTGACATGATAACACACGTATAACGAACCGCACATTCGTTCCATTCGAGCGATCTTTTTCCTCCTTGAGTAGAATTCTGCCTTGTTATTGTATCGCGTATCATGCCATTTTCGCATGAAATTAAGAGTTATTGAAGTTATCTTCCCGTTCGAAGATATATTACTTTTATATTCATAATTCCGGGAAATAATCATCTTCCTAATTACTCAAAAAATTAGCTAACTACTAAAATACATTTTTAATTCTAAAGTTGTGATATTAAAAATTTATGTGCCGTAATTCATCAGCGATGATAAATTATAAATACTTATAAATTGAACGACATTTATCTACTATTGCGACCCTGAAAAACTCATAAGCGATATGCAAGAATTACAAAACGAGTATGTCAGATTTACGATAGTATCGGATAAGATTAAGCACAAATCGATTGTTAAACGAGCGTTCAAATCGATTGTTAAACGAATTTTAACGTTCAAATCGTTGAATTTTCAGAACTAGTTGGAGTCGAGTTACCAGGGAATACGAGAGAAAGCATCATGTAAGCATTGTCAGAACAAGATTATAATAATCGTGGAGATTGCGATAACAATATCATCGAGAACGAGAGACGCCCCAAGACGTCTCTAACAGAGAAAGAAAGTTTTACATATTTTATATCGTTGGAATTTTCACATAAATACAAAAGAATTATTATAAATCACTCCGTAATTGCATCGCTTAATTAAGAAAAAATGTTTTGTTATTATCACCTATTTCACATTTACACTGCTAGGATAACA